TTAATGTAGTTTTCAGTTCCATATAGTTTTTTAAGTTAAAAGATTTTAATCTATGTGAAAATCAAGAGAGAAACTAACGTACTTCCTTCCTCTATGACTTTCCACAGGCTAATGGGAAAAGCATGTGAAGTGTTGCCATAGGAAAAGAGTTCTGCTCTACGCCACCTGCAGCCCATTTCGATCGCCAATGTCATTAACTAGCACAATTTTCAACCGCGATTTACTTGAAATTTGAACACAATGTTCACAATAAATATTGCGATCGAAATAGGCTACAGGTGGCGTAGAGCAGAACTCTCTACCTGTGGCAACACTTCGCATGCTTTCACCATTAGCGTGTGAAAAGTCATAGAAGAACGGTCGAATACGCCATCTGGGGAGAGACCGGTTTCATGCCTTTGGCCCTTCTCCCTTCCCTCACCTCTTCGCAGTTGTATAGGAATGTACTACGATATTTTCCCTTTTTATTTAATAAAAATATTTTTTAAAATTTCCGTGATACTTTTCTTTAGAACTATGTTTAATGTAGTTTTCAGTTCCATAAAGTTTTCCAACTCAAAAGATTTTAATTTATATGAAAATCAAGAGAGAAACTAATGTACTTCCTTCCTCTATGACTCTCCACACGCTAATGGGGAAAGCATGCGAAGTGTTGCCATAGGTAGAGAGTTCTGCTCTACGCCACCTGCAGCCCATTTCGATCGCCAATACATCCATATAATTAAAATCAAAACGAAATTAAGTTTGGATATTTTTTTTTTTAAGTTCTGAGTACAGTAAAGTTATAATTTTATGGAATTTATTTTTTATACTTTTATTATAAAGTAATTGCTAAAGCTCATGCCCAATCTGAAGAGCATAAAAAATTATGAGTCGTTATTCGAAGAGTCGGTATGATTGCAGAAGAATATAACCTGCAATAAAATTCCTTAGAAGTACTGTAAAGATTCATACAAAATGTCTGCATTTTTTTCTCATTACTCTTCATAACATCTTAGAGAACAAAAAAATCGGACACTACAATAAAAAAAAATCCTTGTATTCACGTAATCTTGTTAATTCTGCTTTCATAAATTGCTTTTTTCCTTTTTCAAGATAATTTCAATGGCTAAAATTAAAAAAAAAAAGTTTTTTTTCTAAGAGAAAAATTCAAAACTCTCCTAACAGCTTTTTCTTCAATGAAAAACTTTGTAATTTCTATTCAAATATTTAAAAAAAAAACGTTGTGAGTCAAGTTAATGATTAATTCAATAAATAAATATTATTGATTAATTCAATAAATAAATATTTTTACACAAAAAATGGTGCATTTTATTAAATTTAAAATTAGGTTCAAACCTAAGCAATCATCTGATAACCTTTTTTAAAAATATACTTGAAAGTGAAATAAACATTGATAGACGGACGGATCTAATTTAAAACAGTTATAAACAGGGCTCCCGTTTCTTTAGAAATAAAATTCTTCAACTTTTCAAGAATATGTCAACAAAACTTCAGATTTGTTGTAAACAGTTCATAAGAAATAGAATATTCTTTATTCAGCAAACAATGAAGCTTTCTTTGATAGAAAATATGCTAAATATTATATTTTGTAAATAACAAAATCTTACTAGGTGCAAGTTAAATATAAAGAATTTATAAATTATCTATAAAAACTATTAATTTGTTCAAGAACTGGAAACATTTAAAAACTTAAGTTTATTGGTAGTCACATCTGCCGTCTTACTAGTGATTAAGAACCAAAATTAATTTATACAAAAAGCTTAACTTTAATTTAATTTTGTAGAATTCTTACTTCAATAAATCTAAGTAAAATTATTCCAGATGCAAATTTGTAATTTAGAACGAATAAAAAAAAAAAAAAAAAACACGATAATGTAAAAGCTATTTAATTTAAACCTAATTGGTGGAAATTTTATGCTGGGTAGTAGGAATTTTCTAGGTTTTGGTAAAAAAAATTTTTTTAAAAAGTATAGTCTTGCACAATTCCCAATTTCTTTGATCTCAAGGGAACCCCGTTTAAATTATAAAAGGAAAAAAAAATATTTATAAAAGTATTAGATTAATAAAAAAAGTAAAGATTTGGGTGTTATATTTTCAAGAAGCATTGTAGTATCAAAAAATATATTGTATTGATGATATGAATTTATGATAAGCTTACTTCATTAACTCATTTCCGAAGCTGCTGCACGTGTGCGTGAAATACCTGGCATCGTTGATTGTGCGCCCCAATCGCTCCATCGACGATGTCAAGCATGTATCGCTAAAGGAAGCGTACTGTTTCGAACAGTTATTGTAAACATTACATTTGTCAGCGACGCTTTCAATAAATACTTTGTTTTTCCTTTCGTCTCTTATTTTTTGCGTTTACGCCTCACTTGCGCCCATATATTTCTATACAATAAATGACTGTTACAATGTTCTGTACCTACCCTTAAAGTTTGTACCATGAATTCGGGATCACCCTGTACATAAATAACTGTTTTTAGAGTGCCAACCCATTTTTGGGTAGACTGATCATTGAGTATCAATATTCCACTCAGTAATTTTGAATCCAACTTCGAAGACAAACATAACTGCCAACATGGACAGGAGAAAATCCAGTAAATTTTACAAAATATAAATTTCATGATAATACTTGCATAACTAAATATTTTACACACAAGGAATGTTAGGGATTTTTATAGTCATCAAAATAGAAAAACTGCAGTATTTCCCAGTTATGATTGCCATAAAATAGGGGAGAGTTGGGTAGCCCCGCCCACTGTCAATTTCATATGTATAGAATATTTTTTCAAGTCAATGGGCCATCGGACATTGTTATATTAAAAAATGATTATTTTCAAAGTTTCAAGTATTTATGCAGCTGGTAACATGGTAAACAATAGTTTTGAAAAAATGTTGAATACAGTAGTCATGAAATTAAGAAAAATTGGTTGAATGTTTCGATTAAACTTCATTTTAATACTAAAAAAATATTTTTTTCTATACATACAGCATTAAAGTATGTAGTCTTAAGTTTAATTTGCACAAAGAAAGAAGTTTGTATGTAAAAAATTGTTCGAGTAATTACAAATTTACAAAAAAATT